ATAGATTAATACATCATCAATATATACAAGTGTAAAACCAATATAAGGATTGAAAATATCATTCATAATATTTTCGAATTCGGAAGAGGCATTCTTGAGGCCTAAAGGCATTACATTCCACTCGTAATGACCAAATGGTACTGTGAAAGCAGTCTTGTAATGGTCTTTTTGGGGGATTTGTACTTGCCAAAAGCCAGATTTCATATCAAATTTTGAAAATATTTTTGCTTCATAAAGACAGTTTAATAAACCTTTTTTATTAGGAATTGGGTGTCGAATCCACTGTAAAACCTTATTGAGTGGTTTATAGTTAATTACTAGCCTAGGTGTTCCCCGTTCTAATTTAGCATTTTTATTGACAAAAAAGGCAAGGCAAGACCATGGAGACTTACTTGGTCGAATTAATTTTTTATTAAGAAGATCATTGATTTCTTGTTTGCAATGTTCCATTAATTTTTTATCCATTTGAATTGGTCGAGCTTTGGTAGGGATTTGTCGTTTATTGGAATCTTTTTCATATGGCAGATCAACCATATGTTGCTAAGGTGGCTAAGGTGGCATTGGCGGCCATAACCATATGTTGGCCAAGATCTAAAATTTGATAGTCTGATTTGCCATCTAGATTCCACTCTCAATGGTCACTACCGGAATATGAGAAAGGGGTGTCATAACGACGTTCTTCTAGTTGTAAATCGATTGGGGTTGGACGAGGGTAATAATTACAAATTGGTGGTTGAGCGGCAACAATAGAAGTTTCTTGGATTTGGTTTGGAGTGGTTGCTGTGAATTGTTCATATAAATTATATAACAGATCATTATCTTGTAGGACATTGATGGAGCCACTATGTGTGCCAAGGTCTTTTCCTTCTCTTTTTGGAGTTGATAGATTGGGAGGAGTAGATGTGTTGATAGTAGGGTAATGAATGGGTTCCTTATCATTTAGTACTTTTGTGAGTGTTTCTTTTCGTTTATTTAATTCTACTAAGAATTCATCAAAAGGATTGGTAAAGGAATAGACTAGGTAAGGTAAATTTTTGATCAGAGGGGGTTGGCATAGTTGATCTAGAGGGACTGAGATATAGAGTTTATCAACTCGTTCTTCAATCTAAGTTGTTTGTTAACCAATTGTTTGAAGGTGTATATTGGTATAGTTTAATTGTTCATAAACTTGTCTGATATCATAACTTGTAGCTGGAGTTGTTCTGGAAGTGCGGGTTCCTCCTATAGGTGGTTTGTTATATGGTTTGGCATAAAAAGAAAATCAGCACCTCGAAAAGTGCTGGTTTTGCTTGGAGGGTGTACGGATTGAATGGGTTCACTATTAAGGATAGGCCAATTTTTTTGTATAACGTTAAAATGTGTGGAAAGAAAATGTGAAGGAACTATGATCTGATGTTGTGGGCAATATTGATTAAAATACCAATGGAAAAAAGGCATATGTGGTTAATGTTCCACTAATTTTAGTTTTTAGATTAGTTTTTTTTTTTTAATTATGATCAATTTTTTTCTTTAGTTATGATATTATTTTAGTTTTGACTCATAAGATTTTTAGTTATATCTTATGCTGTGTTTGGTTATATTTTTTTTTAGTTATAACTCAAAAAGTATAAAATTATACTTTTTTAAAAATATATATATATATATATATAAGATGCATAGTATTTTCCTAAATTTAATGAATGATATTTGTAGAAAGTGACACGGGTAAGTGTGAGATATGAGAGAAGGGAGTCTAGTCATTTACTAAGAAAATATTTCATCATTATGTATTCATTTTCTTCTGTACATTTTTGTTGCAATTAAAATAATTTTTCACTAATTTTTAATTGTTTTCCTTACTTGTGTTTTCCTTGGTTACTCTCCTACTCAAAAGGGGTATTTAGAACCACCATTCATTTTAAATAATTTTTTTTTGGAAAATTTTAAATCAATCTACATGACTAAAACTAATTTTTTTGATAGAAAGGAAGTCTAATTAAAACAGAGAGTCATTACATGAAAAAGCAAAGGAGAGGGCTAGTTCCTCTAATACACAAGTCCGACCATATCAGCCGCTAGTATGGGCCTAATTGAGTCAGGGGGGTCCTCATAAATTTCCAGGTCTTCTTGCTGATCAGCACCAATGTGAACCAATGCATCTACACACTTGTTTGGCTCATGGAAGATGTGTTACACTGTGCTTCATATTCTTTGAGTCAAAATTTTGATGTCTTCAACTAAGGCTCTGTATGGACAGGTTGGGTGAGTCCCATCCCATCATGGATTAATTGCACCGCATCCAGGCGGTTGGTTTCTATCACAACCCCTTGCCACCCTTTCCCATCAATAATGGTTGTGCCATGGTAAATGACCCAAATCTCTGCTTCAATACTGGTTGCAACATCTCTAAAGAGGCCGCCATAAATTTAAATAGTTTCAGACCTCTTTGATCAGTGTTAAGGGAGCGTAGATAAGCTTCATGAATTTCAAGGGTATATTGAAACACTTGGTTCAAACTGTCTTGAGTATTTAAAGAACAGTCATCAAAAATGATTTTATTTCAAAAAGGATTTGTGTAATTACTTTTAGTCATGTAGATGGAATTGTAATTCCTCCTAAATCTTTTGTGGTGTTTCGTGGAAACAGTCTTGAACATATGAGAGAAAACTGAACAGGCAGCTGAGTTGGGATTTCCAAGCATCCAAGAAGCAAGCTCTAAAATTGGCTAATAGATAGAATGGTTAGCAGAGTACATTGGTATATCGAATATTTACAATGTGTCCCAATATGTACACTACCCATTATGTATATATTTTTTTAATAAAAAAATTAATCCTTTAATTTAAAAGTGTTAAACACTTTGATTTTTTATTTTAACATTGACAGGATGTTAATGGGTTAATAAATTATACTATAACGAGAAGATTGTAGTCGTTCCATCAATTCAACTCCTGAACATTTGACATTTTCACTATTTCAAAAGACAACTACTTGAACCAATTGGCCAACTATCCCAAATGCTTTGATTTAGAATTGTATAAAGACGCATAAAGTTAATGTTTTGGTTTAAAGGAATAAAAAGACCCAGTTTAGAAATATAAATATTTTCTTTAGAAATGTAGGGGGGGACTAAAACCCCAATTAACAAATTATTGAAATTAGTTGGATCACTTGTGTTGAAATTTTATATTACACTATCATATTCAGGAATCTCTATTGGTGTAGTATTACCCAGAAATTTTAACCAGAAGTTTATCTAAAAAATAAAAATGTATGGTATAAATTTAAAATTAATGTATTGTGGGTCATATCCAATACAAATATTGTTCACACATTCAATTCTAAGTAAAAATCTAAATATGTAATAAATGTAATTTCATCTATCTTTTAACAAAAATTTAAATATAAATATCATCTATAAATCCAATCATAAGAGAAATGAAGAGAAGTGCTCCTGCTATATTTTGACATTTTTTTAAAGGGAGCTTTCTTGATAAGTTCTCTTTCTAAGAGTTTTATTCCATCCAACACATATTCTTTTTTATTATTCCATTAGGTCCTATTTGAGATACGAAGACCAAAACACCCCAATCTCTTATGTCCCATTAATATTGATATTTATTGTAATGCATTAATTAAACACCACTATTTAATGTTGATATATATTACATACAAAAAATTAAACATGGTTCTTTATTACTTGTCATTATGTTTTGGTAGTTCTCATACATCCAAATATTGATTGTTCGTAATAGCATGAATGTTCACATTAGATGACGTGAATGTGAATGTTCACATTAGATGACATGAATATTCACATCAGATGACGTGTGAAAAAAGTGATGTTAAGATTCATATCAACATTGCATCAAATTACATGACCACAAGTCTCAACTTTCATTTGAATATAAACATGACTGCACGTGATGATAAGAATGTTCACATTAGATGACGTAAATGTGAATGCTCACATCAGATTACGTGAATGTGAATGTGAATGTTCACATCAGATGACGTTACGATAACGGCGATGTTAAAGTTCACATCAAATGAGAGAGAATGTTCACATTATTTTTAATGTGTTGTTAATTAAAAATATATTCACATTAGATGAGAGAGAATGTTTATATTATTTTTAATGTGTTATCAATTAAAAATATATTTACATTATCTAATAATATAAAATAATAACATCAATGTTATTTAATTTGTGTATGAAATTTCCTACGTCTTGGTCCTTTGCCTTCTCTCTCCTCCCTCAACATTAAATATCAATATTAAATATAAGGGTATAAGAGTCTAAGAAAATAGTGTAAATCAAGAAAAATGACTTTATGGAATAAAACTATAAATAAATGGGACTAAATGAGTTAAAAAATTACTTTATGAACTTATTGGGTTAAAACACTTCTAAATGAGATTTATCAATAAAAATCTATTTTTTTAAACTTGATGCCAAATTTATCACAAAATTTGGAATTTAATATAACACACTATTAGATATGAATTTAGAAAACTTATTGCCAAGTTTCGGCTTTGGCACGAAGAATACCACCTTCAGAAGAAAGAGACGAAATATTGTTCATTAATTATCACTAAATATTATTTTATTATTGTACATTAAAGCGTCATTTGACAATTTAATATTTTAATTAAAAAGATAAAAATTCTTCACAAAAGTCAAAAAAAATTAACAAAATTCTAACTTATACAAATATTTATTTTGAAAACTTAGTTAAAAATTTATTTTTTTATTTTTTTTAATTTTTTTTTTTTAGACTTTTACCCAGTTTTCTAGATGGTCCAAAAAAATCCGTCTGATTCATTACTCCTATTATTTTTTGTACGTTTTTTGGGGTAAGAAGTCAAACATCGTTTCTTGTACATTTTATTAACTCATATTTTACGCACAAAAAAATAAATAAATAAATAACCGTTAAAAAAACTACTTCTTCATCACTCTCTCACTTTTATATTCCTCCCTACAATTCATTTGATCTCAAATCTTAGGTTGTTAATCCATGGCTGCTAAAAGACCCCAACATGACTCTGCTTCTTCATCTTCTTTAGCACCACCTCGTTGGAGCTATGACGTGTTCTTGAGTTTCAGAGGCAAAGATACCCGCAAAAACTTTACTGATCATCTCTACGCTGCTTTGGTTCAAGCTGGAATTCACACCTTCAGGGACGATGATGAACTCCCAAGAGGACAAGTCATTTCTTCAGAGTTGCTAAAATCAATCGAAGAATCGAGTGTCACGCCCTCAAAATAATAACATTAAACCCATCCATATAGATACATGCATTGATACAAAAAAAATCCACATTCATCTATTCATCAGAGTATTTCATTACAAAAGTATTACATGTTTACAACAAATACAAATGCCCTACGGGTTTACAGCTTTCCAAGTTAACACTTGGTTACAAAAGAGAGTGCTAACTTAATTACACATTAAGTCCTTGGCTTGAATCTATATGTAATACAATCAAGGAAAATAAGGCAACAAAAGTATGTCTGCCTCTAGTCTTCCAAGCTATGTCCTCAGAGGTGGTTGCTACCTGTACCTGAAAATGATGTTCCCATATAGGGTGAGCCACAGCCCAGTAGAAATATACTAAACCGACTATGAACAATGCCTAAAAGATTAGCAACTGATAGAAGGTCAATACTTACACTTCCATTTACATCTTATTGCACTTTCATGACAGTCAAGTCTATGTTACAATTCACTTTCCCTTTCTTATTCAACTTTGAGTTTGAAAACAAGGCTCAGTATTCTGGCCAAAACATTTGATGAGATTATAGTTCATCACTAGAACACCTTCGAAATTCAAGGTGGATACACATTTTGGTGTTGTATCAATAACACATAAACTACCTCCATACTTTGCAAACGACGATGATATACATTTAGGTGCTATATCAAATCAAATAAACTTTTCAATAGATAAGCATATGAGCTATATCAACACTACAACAGATAAGCATATGAGCTATATCAACACTACAACAGATAAGCATATGAGCTATATCAATACTACAACAGATAAGCATATGAGCTGTATCAACACTTCAACATATAAGCATATGAGCTATATCAACACCACAACAGATAAGCATACGAGCTGTATCAACACTTCAACAGATAAGCATATGAGCTGTATCTTCACTACAATGGGAGAGCATATGAGCTGCATCCCCGGGTCCATCCCCCATCTTCCCTTAACCATTAACCGATTTAAAGGTACATCCCCCATCTTCCCCTAAACCGTAGAGTACATCCCCCATCTCCTCCATCCCGCCTCCCTTTTAATGCATGTAAACACAGAATCACATACGCAATCAATCAATACATAAAGTTAATGTATTCTATCAACTATCTACACATAATGCATATAAACACATTGGCCACATGCTCAATCAACCAACACATGAAGTTAGTGTATTCTATCAACCGTCATATTCTATGACACATCCAATCGATTAGTTTTAGTTTGCCTAATCCTCATGCATTGTCTACAACGATCAACACTACCCTCCACCAGTAGCCCAAAGCAATTATTTCTAAGTAGGAAATAAATGCACAAATGGATAATATTTCAACATTTCAATTAGATGAGCAATGAAAGATTCGACTACACTCTTTAGTCCCATACATTCCCAATTTCGACATTCTCAATTCAATTCCTCGTTTTCTTCAATTAATTATATGCATCAATTAATTAAATCCAATTAGGGCAAATTATCATAATTCACAAAACAACCCTAAGGTTCCATTCCCATCAATGTCCCAACATTAATCTCATTTCTCTATGCCTAACATGCATATAGGTTTATATATTTAAAATTCTAACTTTTGTAAAATTACACAAAGGCCCAAACTTTCTCAAGATTACCCAACAACCCTCGACATATCAAAATTCTAAAATTCAAAGACAAAGCTCATAAGATGGAGTAGGTTATCCCTACCTCGAATGATGGGGCTCAACGAAGGAGATGAAGAAACAGAAATGCTCCAAATCCCAAAATTTTCAGATTAAAAGATAGCCCTCGACGATCAACACAACTTTTGTAAAGGCCCAAGGTGAGAAAACAACTCCTACTAGATCAATCCTAAGAGAGAAGTTAGGGTTTTAGTGAGAGGAACTCTCAAAATAGCTTTTTGGAAAAGTAAGAGACAGAAAAGATGTTGAAAAGTGAACAAAAAGGTCGGATCTCAGCTTTATATAAAAGTCGCCCCGCTCGAGCGTCGAACACCCCGTTCGAGCGTCACTCACAGATCCCCGCTCGAGCGTCCAATCCCCCGCTCGAGCAGCAGACGCACGCTCGCAGAACTATTACAGACATGGTTCCCACTCGAGCGTCAGACACACACTCCTGCTCGAGCGGCCAATCCCCTGCTCGAGCGTATACCACTACAGACGAAATACTGGATGGGTGATTTCCCCGCTCGAGCGCCAACACCCCCGCTCGAGCGGACGAGCAACGACAGAGTCCCGCTCGAGCGTCAAAAGCGCCGCTCGAGCGGAGAGACCAGAAACTGGGCAAGGATTTTACGTTTTAAAAACACAACCAACTTATTCCCTACTTGCCCAACACAACCCAAAGCTTGAACAATAAAGGGAAAGGGGTAGAAAGAGGATAAGACAACAACGAATCTACGGAACCGTGTCCGGACTACAGTTAAACAACAACAGGGAATACCGGGATCGCTATTTCGAGGATCTCCATAGTTGTTTTCTCCAGAAACTACGCTTCTTCGAGATGGTGCCTTGATGAGCTCGTGAAGATCATTGAATGCAAGAAAACAATTGGGCAATTACTTCTCCCAATATTCTACAACGTTGATCCATCCGACGTAAGGCATCAAACAGGGTGTTTTGGAGAAGCATTTGGAAGACACGAAAAGCATAATATGGATGAGATGGAGAAGGTGGATGGGTGGAGAGCTGCGCTCGCTGAAGCTGCTAATTTATCAGGCTGGAATTTGCAAAATGTTGCTAATGGGTAATGTTGAACATCCTTTGAATTTTGCTGCTGCTTCTGCTGCTATCAATTTTTATCTTTATCTAGAAAATCCTACCATGTTAATCCTTATCGTTTTTACAATTTGAAAAAACAAATAAAAAAAAGAAAAAGAAATGGCATTTGTCTATTTTTTATTAAAACAAACTTACGATTCATTTGTCAATAATAAATTTATTAAAATTTTATTCTTAATTTTAAATGCATGCAAACCACTATATTAACTATTAAGTATAGTTAGTTTACTTTGGGTTCATTTGGCATGCCTCTTGGGGCTAAAATAGCTATATAAAATAAAATAGGCTATTTTGGTAAAATAGGCTATTTTGGTCAAATAGGACAGAATATCACAGTCAATCCATAATCATTTCATTTTTCTCACAAAGTCAAAAAAGCCAAAAAGCCTATCCCAAATAAGGCTTTTTAGCCCTAAGCTAAAATAGCCAAAAAATCAAAAAGTCAAAAAACCAACCCATATCCCAAACGAGCTAAGATATTTTGCATTTTACATTTCTTACCTGCACATTGGGAGTCGGGTTTGTAAGGTTTTGTATTTCCGTAATATATACCTATGTTACATGGAACGTGGATTATTCTAGTACATGGAATGAGAACGTGGTATATCACATGCTTCAAAATATGATACGATAGGGGTAGACTTGTATACATTACACTTAAGAATTTAAGGTACTTCTAAAATAATTTTTTTTTAACTATTAAGCATTCAATAAAATGTAATTTTTATTTATTTATTTTTTTCATGTAACAAAATATTTCTATGAGCACTATGACCTATTTTTGATGTTTTTGTCTTGTCAAACCTTAACTAATCTTAGATTTTAGTTCATTATATTTGATTTTTTTTTCCTTCCAAGGTAATATTAAGGAAATATATTTGAAAAAACTTTTGAAATCATTTCCTATCACTAACACTGTGTTTGGTTGGAGGATTTGAAAAGTGATTTAGTTGCCATTAAAGAGAAAAGGTAGGTGAAATGTGAATAAAATATAGTTACACTTCACATAATAATTTCACACAGATTTTTCCTTTTCATTTCCAAATCCCTTCACAAATCCTTCAACCAAACCCAGCGTAAATTTATTGTTTTGGAACGGAAGTGTACCATATTTTGGAACGTGCGTATCAATACGTAATTCGTTAGAGTACTAGTGTTTTCTGGTAACACAAATATATACGTGCTTCACTTTTTATTTGAATCAAAATTGACAAGCATGAAGCAAAGTTCATCCGAAAATTTGTTAGAGAGGTTTTATGTAAACTAAAATATGTATTCCGAAATGTTGCTGTGCACCCAGTTGGAATAGATTCTTGTGTTGAACACATAAATTTGATGTTAAGCATTGGATCAGATGATGCTCGCATGATTGGAATATATGGCTTGGGTGGAATAGGCAAAATAACCCTTGCAAAAGCTGTGTATAACCATATTTTCCTCCAATTTGAAGGGAGTTGTTTTCTTGCAAATGTTAGTGAATTTGCAGGACAATTCAATGGCCTAGTTCAATTGCAAGAACAACTTCTTTTTGAATTATTAGGGATAAAGAATCTAAAAATTGGCAGTGTTGACAGAAGAATCAACTTGATAAAAGAAAGGCTCCATTCTAAAAGGGTTCTCATTGTTCTTGATGATGTGGATCAATTAAGTCAGTTAAATTCCTTGGCAGGAAATCGTGATTGGTTTGGTCCACGAAGTAGAATCATAATAACAATTAGAGATCAGCATTTGTTGAAGGAACTGAAAGTTCATGAAAGATATATGGCTAAGGAATTAAATCACACCGAGTCTCTGCAGCTTTTCAGTTGGCATGCTGTCAGAAAAACCAATCCATTAGAAAATTATGCAGATATTGCAAATGATATAGTACGTTACGCTGGAGGACTTTCACTAGCTCTTGAAGTTTTGGGTTCTTATTTGTCTGGAAGAAACATGGTAGAATGGATAAGTGCACTTGATAAATTGCGACAAATACCTCATAATGAAATTTAGAAAAAACTTAGGATAAGTTTTGATTCACTAGATGATGACAAAATGAAGGGTATCTTCCTTGATATTGCATGCTTTTTCATTGGAACAGACAAAGACTATGTCATTACTATACTTAATGGCTGCGGTTTCTATGCCGAAATTGAAATTAGTGTTTTGATTAGTAGATGTTTACTGAGAATTAATGAAGAAAATGAGCTGACAATGCATGATCTACTTCGGGATATGGGGAGGGAAATTATTCGTGAAGAATTTCCCAAGGAGATTGGAAAGCGCAGTAGATTATGGTTTCATGAAGATGTTTGCTATGTACTTGAAAAAAACAAGGTAAGAGTCTAATCTTTAATTCCTTGTGTTGAGTTAGTAAGTTTTCAACTTGGAACAATAATTCAGTTATTTACTCTCTCTCTCTCTCTCTCTCTCTCTCTCACACACACACACACACGCACACTATAGCGATTCCGGTTTTACCTTTCTGTATTTATTGTTTTCCGGACTTGGGTTCTGTGATGTTGGTGGTTGTATACCTTGTTGTCATCCTTTGATTCCGCTTGATTGAGTTTTAGGATGTATTGGGCAGAGTTGTTACAGGTTGGTTAGGCTTTGGTTTCAATTCTTTGTTGCCCAGTTTTTAGTAGGTCCGCTCGAGCGGGTATTCTTGCGCTCGAGCGGAGATTGCACACTCCCAGTATTGTGGTGCTCTGCAGAACTTCTGCAAGCATGTTTTTCACGCTCGAGCGGGTGGTACTTTTTGGGTGTAAGTTCTGGAAGGGAGAAATCTACACTCAAGCGGACTAGTTTTCGCGCTCGAGCGAATGTACTTTATTCTTGTGTCTTAGCGCTCAAGCGGGTTTACTTGCGCTCGAGCGGATCTAGTTTTTTGTTCTTAACGCTCGAGCGTTGTGTTTTCGGCTCGTGCGGGAATGTCGTATAACAGAGGGCAGCTGGGCATTTTTGAATCATTTTTCTACATTTCCTCTCTCTCCCTCTTACTTTTCCAAACCGCCATTTGAGAGCTTCTTTCTCTAGAAACTCCCTGCTCTCTAGGGTTTGATCTAGTTAGAGTGCTTCCCTCCCCTTTGGCCTTTGTAAAAGTTGGGTTGATCGTCGAGGGCTACGTTTTGATCTGAGAAACTTGTGGTTTGGAGCATTTTGGTTTTCTTCATCCTCTTCTCTTGGGCTCCGAATTTGAGGTAGGGATTCCTACTAACTACTATGGGTTTTAACCTAGATTTTGGGCATTTTGTTAAATGGTTGATTTTGGAACTTAGGGTTTCAAAAAGTATAAATGAGGGTTTTGTCATTTTGATTCTTAAATATGTATTTTGGGTGTCAAAATGGTGTTATTGGTGTTGGTTGTTGATATATAGACCATTGGGTCAATATTGAGAAATGTGGTAGAAAATCCTAATTGGTTGTATAAATTAATTAGTATGATTAATTTGGGAAAATTGTGGTTATATGGAATTGAGTTGGAAATAATGAAATTGGCTCATTATATAGTAGAATGGTGGAGTTGGATTTATTAACCGCTCACTTTTGAAAACATTGATATTTTATCTGTTGGAGCTTTTATTATCTGTTTAGAAATAATTGCTTGGGCTACCGGTGGAGGGTAGTTTTGATTGTTGTAGACAATGCATGATGATTAGGCAAACTAAAACTAATCAGTTGGATATGTCATAGAGTATGATTGTTGATAGATTACATTAACGTTATGTATTGATTGATTGTGTTTATGACCTATGTATATATACGTTGTGTGTGTGGGAGGAGATAGGGGATGTACTCCACGGTTTAGGGGAAGATAGGGGATGGACCTCTAAACCGGATGTTGTTTGGGAGGAGATAGTGGATGGACTCTACTGATACAGCTCATATGCTTGTCAGTTAACGTGTTGATATAGCTCATATGCTTATCTATGGAAGTGTTGATACAGCTCATATGCTTATCTTTGGAAGTGTTGATATAGCTAATATGCATATCTGTTGAAATGTGGATACAGCTTGTATGCTTATCTGTTGAGATGTTGATACAACTAGTATGTTTATCTATTGTAAAATGGGAAACGTTTTATATGAGTCACTGTCTCATATAAATGGTTGGCCAGGTTCTAAGCCGTTGATATAAATTGTGAAATTGATAAGAAATGGAAACTGAAATGAAACATGAACATAGTGGTCATGAAATAGAAATGGGTTATGAATTGGTTTATGGAAATTGAACATTTATCAATTGCTAATGTCTTAGTTATTGCTCATACTGTGTTTAGCATATCTCTACTGGGCATTGGCTCACCCTTTATGGGACATTATTTTCAGGTACGGGTAGTATGCCACCTCTAAGGACATAGTTTGGATGATGATGAGAGTTGAAGACTCATGTTTTTGTTTATTTTGTTTGTATTACATGTATATCAAGCCAAGGGCTTATTTTGTATAGAGTTAGTACTCTTCTTTTGTGTAACCAGGTGTTGACTTGGAAAGCTGTAAGCCCATAGGGCATTTGCTTTTGTTGTTAACATGTAATACAGTTGTAAGAATTACTCTGATGAATAGAAATTGTTGGCTTCTTTTATATCAATGCATGTCTAAAGTGATGGGTTTTTATGTATTATTTTGAGGGCGTTACACACACACACACAAACACACGTTCATGGTATATGTACATACTGCTATTTACATATCCAATATTCTTCCTTCTAATTTTTCATTTTGTTTTTAAATATTAGGGAACAGAAGCAGTCGAAGGGGTGATCCTAACCCTACCCATGTTAAAGAAGATACAATGGAGTAATAAAGCATTTGTTGGGATGCCCAAGTTAAGATTGCTTCAAATAAATAATGTGCACCTCAATGGAAATTTTGAATATCTATTTGAAGAGCTAAGGTGGCTTTGTTGGCATTACTACCCATTGGAGTATTTACTGTACAATTTTCATCCAGAGAAACTCGTTATTTTAGTCATGCAGTTCAGCAAAATTAAATTGCTCTAGAAAGATGGCAAGGTACGACATTCTTAGAAAATTCATTCTTGTTTGGGATTTGGATCAATTGAGTAGTGAATCGTGAAGAAAGAAAAAAAAATTATATAATTTCTTATATATATATATTGGTTTTAACAGCACATCAAGAGCTTGAAAATTCTAAATCTCAGTAATTCCAAATGCCTAACAAAAAGCCCCATCTTCTGTGCACTATCGATGCTCAAGGAATTACTACTTGAAAGTTGTACAAATTTAATGGAGCTCCATGAATCAATTGGACTTTTGGATAAACTTGTTTACTTGAATTTGAAAGGTTGCCTGAACCTGAGGTATCTTCCAAGCAGTATCTGCAAGTTAAAGTCTGTTAAACATCTAAATCTCATTGGTTGTGTGAAACTAGAGGAGTTTCCAGAGCACTTGGGACATATGGAAAGCTTAACAGAGCTTCTTGCAGATGGAACACCCATTAAACAATTACCTTTCTCTATTGGGCTACTGAAGAATCTCAGGAGCTTATCGTTGAAGGGATGTAATAGGCAATTCACAACTAAATCACGGCTTTCTCTCATTTCAGCTCAGGTTTTATTGCTAAAAAATCCCGACTCCATAAGATTTTTACCATCCTCTATTTCAAGATTGTGTTCCTTAACAGAGCTAGATCTCAGTGAATGCAATTTGTCTGAAGGAGATTTTCCGGTTAATCTTGAGAGTTTATCGTCATTGCGAGTGTTGTATTTAGGGGGAAACAATTTTCGTAGCCTACCATATGGCTTTAGTCATCTATCCAAACTAGAAGTCCTTGGGCTGAGTTATTGCACAAGTCTTCAATCTATCTCAAATCTTCCTTTTAATTTATTGGAAGTATATGCTACTGATTGTGCATCACTTGAAAAAATATCCGATCTATCAAAATTGAAGACTCTAGAGCTATGGTTGGCTGACACTCCATTTGAGCATAAACTCTCAAATCTAGGAATGTGGTTGGGTAACACTCTATTTTAGCATAAACTGTCAAATCATAAAAATCAAATGGAAGAACTTCATTGTTTTCAAGGTGCACAAATCATGCCCTTGGACAGACTCAACAAAAGGCTCAACAATATTCCAAATCTCCCTCAGGTCTCTCTCTCTCTCTCTCTCTCTCTCTCTCTCTCTCTCTCTCTCTCTCTCTCAGGTGCAACAATTTAGCACAAAAAATCCCTTTGAAAATTAAGTGAAATGTATGAAACCAAATTTATTTTAGTTGTGACATATCTAATACCAAAGGAGGAGGATTCCCTCTGTCCCTGATATGGACTGGAGGGCGCAATTCAGGATCATGCGCGGGTCTCATTTTGATGATTTGAATTGTTCATTTTGTCAAACACTTCGTGTATTTCATCCATACAAAAATTTAAGTCAATTCGATGATCATAACCTATTCAATTTATTGCGTTTGTCACTAAAAAATAGATGATAATTGTGTTTTAAAAAATTACCCATCCATATTTTTTGGTGACAACGCAATAAATTAAATAGGTTACAATTATTTGATTGACTTAATTTTTTTGTGAATGAAATACATGAAGTGTCCAACAAAATGAATGATTTAGATCATTGAAATGGGACCCGTGGTGAACACACAGGCGCAAGCAACGTTGTGTAGGCAACTTTATGGACGGGAGAGGAGCTCTCTCCAATACAAAATATTAGAAATGGAAAATAATATCTTACAGAATTTTTTATTCAAAATTTTAGACCTGAATAATGTGGCAGTAACAATTTAAAAAATAGAATTGTTATATATCAGTTGTTTTTTTCACTGTTTTATTACCAGCTACAAGACAATATATTAGAGGGTTATACATCACATGTTGTCCATGTAGATGGGGACACAAAATGATGATATATAATGATTATATATCGCATTTCTCCACGGCAATATGTTATCTACTTTCATTAATTTCATAATAATTATTTCAAAACAGGTGAGCCAATCATAAATATTCATGTAGCTAGTAATACAAAATGATGATAAAAATGTAAGTGTGATACATAACATTTCTCTATTACTAATATAATTAACTTTAACTAGTCTTTTGATTCTATATGATAAAAATCAATACTTGCCACTGTATTAATTTGCTGATTAGTTTTTTTCAAATAAGATTACAGGAATATAGAACAAATCACATAAAACAATCTTCATCATACATATTACATGGAAAGAGTGGGACCTATCATAAAAGACAATTTCATTCAAATTATTCTACCTATATTTTATGTAATTGGTTTTGTAGTTGATTTTGTATCTGCAAACTTCTTGTAATTTTTGTGTGTTCGTATAGCACTCTACTAATTAGAAATTCATATGACAGTGTCATCATGTCGACCACCACCACAGCGCTAGTATCTTTTCCAACAGCAACCTGTTCTATCCCAGTAGTGACTTTGATGGTTATTTCAGCAATGAAATAACAAGGTCACCTTCGATATCCTTAGAAATGCCAGCGGTGCCAAAGGAAGACTACATTGCAGGGATCAGTTTGGGAGTAGTTTATTATACAGCTGGGGATGAATGCTCCATGGAATTAGATGATTTTCCATACGCCATTATTAGTGATAAAATTAATGGCGTTGATTTGACTTATACCCCAACCTTCTTCAGCATCCCTGGGAGTTGTGGAGATTATATTTGGATAAGCCATATAGAAATTGAAGAATATTTTGGGTATCAAATTAAAGGTGGTGAGCAATTTGAGGTTTCTTTCATTTTGACGCAACCTTTAAAACTGAAGAAGTGTGGGATCGATCTGATTATCCAATGTGACGGAGGCTCCACGAAAAACTACTGTGGATTGAGGTGGTCGAGTCGTTTTTCTACAGCTCTGTTCGGGAATCGTTGATGCATTGTCTTTGTTATTGTGATGTGGGAGCTAAGTCCTTTGAGGAATCTGATTCAATGGGACCATAATCAGGAATTCAAAAAGTGGTTTTGGCAAGTAATGACCCATGGGGATGAGTCAAGTTTGGGATTGTTTGTTGCTTTATGATGGGGTGTTTGGATGCGGCGCAACCAATTGATTTTTTTTTATACCCATGCTTCGGCTGAGGCAACGGTGACCATGGTCTGCAATTTGGTAAGTGATTTTGGTCAAGTGCAGCAAAGAATTCAGGGTGCATTGCAGCAGGAGAGAGATGTTTGTTGGTACGCTTCGGAGGGTTGGCTCAAAGTTAATTTCGATGGGGTATGATTCAAAGAATTGCATACTGTCGGGGTTGGTGTGGTTATTCGAAATTCTATGGGTGAAGTGATGGTTGTTATGTCAGAGCAAATTCCGTTCTAGGTGGATGCTGATTGTGCCAAAGCATTTGCAGCGGCCCAGGAAATTGCTTTGGCGAGGGATCTGGGTTTTAGTGATATTAGTCTAGAGGGGGATTCCTTAAATATAGTCCATGCTTTGCGGAAGGGTGGTGAGTTATTATCTGAGTATGGCCATATTCTATCATAAGTGGTGGGTGCCAATCGATTGTTTAAATATAGTCCAGAGTATGGATGGAGGAGGTCCCGCTGGCCTTGATTGATGTTGCTTGCTAGTTTGCTTTTCTTTGTGTTTTGTTTTTTCTACCATCTGAAAAAAATTAAAAAATAAAAAAAAATAGGCGTGGTCGATATTTCCTTTATTTGTTAAAAGGATAAAAATAAATTACAAATACTCTCTCTTGAGGAGTGTCACAATCTCTAGAGAAAATAGTTAGTTTTCCTCATTTGCCCATATCTCTTTAATCCATTTGCCCAAGTGTCTCTCCTCCGTTATCTTCTTTCCCAAGAAGAAAAAAAAAATTAGTCTCCAAGTAAAAGCATAACCGACCATTCATCCCATTTTGCCTCTAAATATTTGAGCTCCCTGCATTGTCACTCCTCACAGAATATTCATTCACCAAGCAACCTTCAAAGATTTAGACAAACACTTGAACAACAATGATGTCTGGGTGTGGCGAACATCATCATCCATTTGGTCACAGTGTTACACCACAGCCCCGGTGGACATAACGAACATGAACATGACAGCGGTGCAGCTTGTCATGGTGGAGGACATCATGGTCACGGCTGGAGACATCTTATTTATCAACACCACGGTCATGGCTGGAGACATCATATTCATCATGTTCACGGTGAACATCACGGACATGATGGCCGTGGTGGTTGTCACCATGGAGGATGCCAGTCATGATGGGAGACATCACGGTCACGGTGGTGGCAGTCTTGGCAAAAGGCACCATTGCAATGGCAGATGTAGAGGTCACAGCAAGGGACATTATCATCATGTGGTCATTGTTGAGCACGTCAGTGCCCCTGAAATTGCAACAACTAGTGGGTAGATAGATTCTTCCAGTTGAGAATTTTAGCAGTCCTCTGATTGAAGAAGCAGCAGTGTGTTCATGTATTACCAAATTTGGAGAGAGAGAGAGAGACATAATTTCCTTTGGTGTACTGTGTGTATTGTGCTAAATATTGAACCAGCTTGAGTTGTTTCGTTAAAGGTGGACCACAGTAATATATATAACTTGAGTGTAAATTTTCATGGAGTAATGCTTATACATATACAATTTTTCAATCCATACTTGAACGAACCATTATTGGATTAAATCAACAAATATTCATAGTTTAACATAGTTAAAACAAGCTACTCAATGCATGAGCTTCCCGCTGAAACAGGGTCTGTTAACAGGACATAAATTTAGCATGCTTATATTACCTCAAAAGAAATTAGAACATCAAAAGACTACTCCAAACTCTTACCATACACGGTCCACAATCATAAATTACTCTGATCTCTCCTGGTTGGCAGTAATATCTTTAATCATTTCCTTCAGCTTGCCAGTCTACACGACAGACCAAACCATCAAAACAATGTATCCCAGGCTTAAGAAGAAGAAAAATTTTGATGTGATAATACCTGGTGCATGTTAAGAATGATGTATGATCCTCCGATGAACTCCCCCTTGATAAATATTTGTGGAAATGGGCCAGTTGCTGCAAGGATAGACCATGAGACTAATTAAAACAAATACAACAAAACTACATGTTTTACCAACAATTTTGGACCAAATTGGTAGCTAGGTAATGATCAGTACATGGCTTAAACAGCAAATGTATGTTTCTTGATATTAATTTGTATCACTAAAACATGACAACTTAGTGCACTTCTCACAAATTATCCTAAAAGCATGTCTAATTGATGAACAGGCAACATCGTGGATATTTGACATAAACTGCATCCTAAAAAATTCAATTAAGATTTGGCCATGTCTATGAAGTAACTCATTAAGCTATCTTTTGAAAAAGATTTTTCATATACCTGAATCTCAATAGGCAACATGGGCTAAATATTAAAAGTTGAAATAGCAGGAAATTTGATAAATTCAAACTTGTCTGAAGAAGTGTTCATGGGCTTCTGAACATATGTTGCTGTGGGCATGTATTCTTAGCCACTATTGGATATGGATCATTTGATTAACCCACTTGAAATGAATGCTATTCAAATACCGCCTAAGGAAATTCTTTAAATTGCTGCCACCATATGTTAAACAAAAATGGATGTATTCTGATTCCAATATCATGCTTCTTGAAACAAGTTTTCTGCCTCGATATAATTTTTATTTAAAAAGAAAAACAAAAACAAAAAAACAAAAGCAAAAACAAAAACAAATCAAAATAAAACAAAAACAAAAGCACAAAAATACCAGTAAGAAATTTCAGTAACATCCGCGACTTCTAGTTCTGTAGCACAAGGACAATTGACAAAAACCAATCCATGCATTCACTGGTTCAGCGTCTTGGCATATCAAACACCACCCAAAAAACAAAAAAAAAAAAAAAAGAAATAGTTTGAATTAACAAAACATGCAGTCATACACCTTGAATGTAAACAACACATGTAAACTAAAATCCCAACTTATTACAAACATTTCCCTAGTGCCAACCCAAACATCCCAATTATAAACAATAATGTTGTGGGTGGTATTTGTTCATGTGGTCCACTGATAGGGAAGAACGTGGGTGCTGAGATATCAAGGTAATCACCAGTGAGTGAGGAGGTGAGAGAACAAGAAGGCTTAGAAGACAGAGAGGGCAGTGGAGAGGTCTCGCTGTATACCAGAGATGGAGAAGATAGTTGATGATGAAGGAGATGGTTGATAATGGAGAATGCTTCAACATCCGCATAGAATCCTTTTATATAGGGTGGTCAAACCATGGAGGCCAGCTCAATCTTGGAGAGGTAGCTAACCCTCCTTGTTTTGACGAGAATGAGGTATCCCAACCACTTCTACTACCTAAGATTGTACCTTGGGATTTGTATCATAAGAGCAACAATGGTAGGCATTGTGGGGGGCTTCAGTGTTGCATATGATACAATTTCCAAAATATCAAATCTTGATTAGAGCACCTCTCTCTCTGAGACTGATCAAGGTGCAGACACCATCAAGGTAGGGGGATGGAAAGGCACCAAAATGAAGATTGTACCTTGGGATTTGTATCATAAGAGCAACAATGGTAGGCATTGTGGGGGGCTTCAGTGTTGCATATGATACAATTTCCAAAATATCAAATCTTGATTAGAACACCTCTCTCTCTCAGACTGATCAAGGTGCAGACACCATCAGGGTAGGGGGATGGAAAGGCACCAAAATGAAGCCCTAACTCTGGCCTCTAACCCACATACCTAGAGTGATCCCCCAGACAAGGATTCCTAGGCCCAACACCTAACCTAGATCATCATTGGATGATGGTATTGGAGATGTCTTGATCAGTAGGAGACAGCTTTACGGAGAAAGAGAAGACGAGACATAGTGGGGTCATGGTCAGGCGAAAGACCCCTCAGCCAAGCCAAATGGGATGCAGAGCCATGTTGCCCCTGAGCAGAGTTAGTCGAGCAGGGATGCCTCGGACCCTTGACACAATCGAGTGGCGCTCTGGCCACGCCTTGGGATGCCCTATGTTGGCTCATCTTGTGGTGCCATGGCTAAAAGTTAAGGCATTGAGCATGTTAGCTAGCCAAGCTAACATACTTGGTGGTTTGTATGCCCCTGCTTAGGATAGACTCATCACAACCCCAACTAATACAACAAACAGCCACATTGCCATGTGATAGACCAACAAAAAGCCATGCAATGATAAAACATATGTGATGCATATATATGACATACAATATAGAAATGTTTCATGGTAGCCGAATTCATCTCAATTTCAAACATGTTTATGCATCATAGCGTTAGAGAATAGAGGTCACTTTAGTAATAGGAGCTCAACTCTAAAACTTGCTTTCCAGTAACTAATAATCGACCATCTTGCACCTCTGATTGCAGAGTTTTAGATAAATCTAGTGAACCTTCTCACAGTTTTAGTCCCCCTACATTATGCAAAAATCCTCAATATAAATCATGTGCATATATACATATGCGTAATAAAGTAATTTAAATTCAAATAAGGATAATGTGAGATGAAAATGTAGAGAAGAAATTGCTTACGGACTCATATTTACCAGGGACCAAGTCAGAATTGGATAAATGGAAAACCTCCTGAATACTCACCCTTCCCTAGTACAAAAGATGAAAGATATACTTTTTTTAGTCATTCCCAGTAACATAGTCTACTTGAATTTGCTCTGTTTGGTCGCTCAGAAAATACAGTAGAATCAAAACAATCTTAAATTTTTGAATCTGTTTTTCATTGTGAATAGATTAGTTCTCATATCACTGGAAACCAACTAGAAAACTCATATATTTTGGAATGGTAAAACAAGCAACGGGTTGAAAATATTTACCTTGAGCAAGTGTGTCCACTCAAATGTACAGGCTCCATTGTACATGTCTCAGATCATGAAACCTGTTCCAAATAAAATTACCCCCCAAAACCCTAGATTAGATATATATGCATATCATAGAGATGAGAAAGAGGATTAAGCAATGGAAATACCTCTGAGGGAAGAAATTCAAGGGAAGGAGGTGGGGGAGGGACGGAGTTTTCAGAAGATCAAGAAACCCTAACCCTAATAGGGTTTTGTCAACCGATGAAGAAGAAGAGAACAAAAGAAAGGAGTCGAGTCCTGATACCTGATCGCTTTGCCGCCATGAAATCGAAGTCTTCAGATGTGGAGTTTGGTTTCATAGCTCCTAAACCTTTTGGAGTTGTTTTGTTGTTGAGTCTTTAGGCCCATTGTGTTTTTGGTAAGAGCATCTCTATTTGGGAAGTTGGGTTTAGGGATTTTTTTTTTTATTTTTTTATTTTTTTTGTTAAAATAGTTATAAAAAAATAAAATAATTTTTTTTAGTCTAATAAGATAAAATAGCACATTCAATTTATAATCATTATATTTTTTCTTTCACAAAAAAAAAAAAAAAAAAAAAAAAATCAAAAGCTCTTCACAAACTAAGTTTTTTAGCCTCAGACTCAAAAAACCAAAAAGTCAATCCAATTTCTACCTGAATCCTAAATTGGTTTAAGTTTTTAATTAAATTTTAGTTAGAAAGTTAGGTTTCCATTCTAACTAATCACATTTTCAAATATATTTTCGAACAAAATCTTTTTTCTTTATTTATTATTCTAAGACAAAACTAGAAAGAAATAAATATGAAAAAGTGAAATTAGTAAAAAATGAAGTGTAAGTAAAGAAAATGAAAGAAAAATATATCATATGGTACCACACAATTTATTTTTCATTAATTAAAATATAAAAAATGTAATCCTTTGTTTTAGGAATTTTTATTGATAAATTTCATTTAGAAGTGTTTTAACTCAAAAAGTCCATGAAGGAATTTTTTAACCCACTTAATTCTATGTATTTATAGTTTTATTCCATAAAATCTTTTTTCTTGATTTATACTATTTTCGTAGATTCTTATGCCCTCATATTTAATATTGATATTTAATGTTGGGAAATGAGAGAGAAGGGAAAGGGCCAAGACATAGAAAATTTCATACACAAATTAAATAACATTGATGTTATTATTTTATATTATTATATAATGTGAATATATTTTTAATTAACAACACATCAAAAATAATGTGAACATTCTCTCTCATTTGATATGAATATATTTTTAATTGACAACATATTAAAAATAATGTGATATTCTCTCTCATCTGATGTTAACCTTAACATCACCTTTGTCACAACGTCATCTGATGTGAACATTTATATTCACATCATCTAATGTGAACATTCACATTCACGTCATCTAATGTGAGCATTCACGTCATCACGTACAATCATGCTTATAATCAAATAAAAGTTGAGGCTTGTGGTTATGTAATTTGATGCAATACTAATGTGAACCTTAACATCACATTTTTCACACGTCATCTGATGTGAACATTCACATTCACATTCACGTTATCTAATGTAAACATTCACGTCATTACATACAGTTAATATTTGGATGCATAGGAACTACCAAAACATAATGACAATCAATAAATAACCATGTTTAATTTTTTTGTTTGTAATATATATCAACATTAAATAGTGGTGTGTAGTTAATGCATTATATTAAATATCAACATTATGGGAGCATGAGAGATTGAGGGTGTTTTGGTCTTCTTACTTCAAATAGGACCTAATGGAATAGTCAAAAAAAAAAAAAATGAGTTGGATGGAATAAAACTCTTAGAAAAAAGACTTGTGAAAACCCGAATATAAAAATTAAATAATAATGTTACAATCTCAAATATTTTGATGGTGAATCATAAAGTGCAAATTAAATATTTCGTGGGTCTTTTAATTAATTTTAAAACCTAAACTAAATTTATGCTGAAAGTCTTTAATTTAAAGGCAAGATTTATTAAATAAATAAATAAAAATAAGTGTCGAATTAGTAAGCATATTTTGATCTAATAATAGTTATTTTATTTAAATTAATAGTGAAAAGAAAAAAATAATGTAAAATAAAGGATATATATTTAGGGTTTTATTTATATATATATATATATATAACAACCTTAGGGTTTCTAACAATACAATAGCAGCAGCCCCTTTAGGTTTATAGCAGCCAGCAGCCGTGGGAAGTTTGAGAGAAGAGAAAAAAAGGAGAAGAAGTTGCAATCAAAGAACTTTTTAGTCTGCGGTAGGATTCTAACTTTCTTCTTTATTTTATTTTTTATCCTTATTCTATTTTATGATTTAATTCATTGAGGGGGAGGTTGTAGGTGCATGTAATTTGTGTATATATATACTGTTAAGAAATTTGAGGAGCTAAATTTATGTGTAAAGAATGGGTGTAATTCTTAGTTTAAAAATTCTGTACAGAACCACAAAGTTTAAAAATCAAAAAATCATATCAAACGAATGAATTTTGAACTGAAATTTTTACAGAAGATTAATTACATATTGAATTACATATCTGAATTTTCTTATAATTTTTGGGAGTCCAAATCCATATAAACTGATGCGTTGATCAAATCTGTCCAGGAAACCAGTACAAAACAGTAACTTCGGGGGTGTTATTCTCTTTGGGTATAAATCCGAAAATTTTCAAGTTAGCGTCATTAGAACCGGTTACGAGTCTAGTTTCTTACATTTTTGGCCTTGCGTTGATTGCTTGTGTATACTAAGAGAACCATTAATTTCTTTAAAGTGCTGCAGCAAACAACCTGTTTGGATATAATTAATTATAAATAATTATTTTGACAAGCAAGTCAAGTGAAACCAATTGGGTTTGAAACTTAGGATATATAAGTTGATATCTGTAGGGTTTTGGAATTTTTTGAACATAGCGGAGTGGGTTTTGGAATTTTCAAAGTTAGCGAATAGTTTGGAAAAACTTATTTAAAATTCTGTTTTATCTTAAAGTTATTTTTAATTAAGTTTCGATTTGAACCCATGTCTTGGGTGATTTTAGACCTTAAAGAACATGAACTTAGGTAATATTTAAGAGTAACGGTGAGTTGGATTGAACCATTTTAGTGCGCTTTAGTTTGGGATTGCTTAGTTCTTATCTTTTAGTATGTTTGAATTAGTAGTGCCGTGTAGTTTTAATACTTTGTTTAGGGCACTAGTTGAATTTTTATACTCTATTTGAGGATTACATTGTTCCATTTTTAGGTGAATAGTTTCATACTACATATTTTTATAAATATCCCCCTACCCTGAGCTGTTGGAAATTAAATTATTGTTTCAAGATTAAACTGTTTTGATAAATTATTATAGTATCAATGAAATTAAATTATTTCTGAAATATGTGTAAACTTGGCATACTGTAAACTATTTGTTATGGTCTTATGTTTATAATGATGAACTACCATATTTTGCGAAACTGTTGTGTATTGATCATTGGGACCATCTGTGTATTTTAGTCCAGGAAAATTATTCCACTGTGTGTGGTGACTCTAGCCACTAGGGAACAGATCCAGGTTGGGCCGTGATGACTCTAGTGCTCAACGATTGTAAGGAAAAGACCTAGGCTAGGCTAGGTGACCTTCAATCGGATCGTCTTAGAGAAAAG